TTGTTTTGTTTTGTTTTGTTTTGTTTTGTTTTGTTTTGTTTTGTTTTGTTTAAGCAGGCTTCGTGCCCAGCATGGAGCCCAATGTGGGGCTTGAACCCTAAGATCAAGACCTGAGCTGAGATCAAGAGTCAGATGCTTAACCCAATGAGCCACCCAGGAGCCCCTCCAGGGTTACATTTTTAACACATAAGTCACGTGGCACCACTCCCTTGCTTGAATACTTCCCCGTGGCTTCTTGTTGCTCTCAGATAAAACCTGCATCCCCAAAGGGCGCCTCCAACTCTGCCTGCCTGTGCGGCCTTGCTCCCCACTGCTCTCTGCCTCACTCCCTGCATCCCACACACGCTGGCCTTTTCCCTGCTCCTCAGAAACACCCAGGTAATTTCCTACTCAAGCTAATTATGATTTAGACTTTTGGCCTGGATCCTCCTTCTCCCAGCCCTTCCCAAGGTGCACACCATTGTTCAGATCTCTGTCCAAATAGCCATCCCCAAATGGCCTCTACGGACCATCCTATGGAAAAGCAGCTCTTCTTTCCTCCCAGGGACTCTATCCCTTCCCTTGCTTTATTCTCCTTCACATGACTCTTCGTAATCAAATCATTGTCAACTATTAGCTTATTACCTCTCCCCTGCTCTAGAGGGTGAGCCCTATTCTGGTCAAGGATTCTGTCTTTTCACTGCAGTGATATCTAGATGAGAGATGGGCACAGAAAGAGCTCGAAACATATGCAGAGCAAATCGCATATCTTCTGCCGCAGACGGAGCCAGTACCGGGGACTGGGTGGGACGCGCAGGAAGGAGAGGAAAGGCTTCGTCTTTATCATCATAGCTCCTATGTTTGGAGAGCACTTTCTATGGGCTTTCTCGGACATTACCTCCTTTATCCAGGAGTTGTGGTCCTCGGTGCTCAGCCCTGGTGCCAGGGCACCCAGGCTCACTGCTAAGTTAGCACGAGTGGGACCCAGGTGGAGGTTCATGATTCACCCTCGTCCCTCCACCACAGGAGACTCCAGAACAGGAGAGGAATGTAAGCTTGAGAGCCCAGCTTTAAAGCAGCAGAAATAATGTAGGAAAAGATGGTGGTTATGCAACTCACCGAGTACCACAGATTATCTATAATATATCATACCCTGACTTAAATACAGAAATTGCAGCCAGCACTTACAACCACAGGACAGTTTTTGAAAGTTCCAAACATAGGTGCGATTTGGAGATACACATTTGCCTATCTTTTCTTTCATTACATTTCTTAACAGAATATCCAGAGAAGTTAAATGTTGATGATTGCATATAAATGTTACAAATAGTATCTGGAATGCCATTATTGTCATTCCTAATAATGGTTAAAATATACTGGGTGTTTACCAAGTGCCAACTATCATCCTAAGGGCTTACCTGGATTATTTTACTCAATCTTCCCCAAAAAGTCAGATTCATTATTATCCCCATTTTTTTATTTTAATTAATTAATTATTTTTTTTAAACTTACATCCAAGTTAGTTAGCATATAGTCCAACAATGATTTCAGGGGTACATTCCTTAATGCCCTTTACCCATTTAGCCCATCCCCCCTCCCACAACCCATCCAGTAACCACTGTTTGTTCTCCATATTTAACAGTCTTTTATGTTTTGTCCCCCTCCCTGTTTTTATATTATTTTTGCTTCCCTTCCCTTGTGTTCCATCTTTTCTGTGTCTTAAAGTCCTCATATGAATGAAGTCATATGATATTTGTCTTTCTCTGGCTGACTAATTTTGCTTAGCATAATACCCTCTGGTTCCATCCACGTAGTTGCAAAAGGCAAGATTTCATTCTTTTTGATTGCCGAGTAATACTCCATTGTGTATATATACCACATCTTCTTTATCCATTCATCCCTTGATAGACATTTGGGCTCTTTCCATACTTTGGCTATTGTCGATAATGCTGCTATAAACTTGGGCCAGGTGCATGTGCCCCTTTGAAACAGCATACCTGTATCCCGTGGATAAATACCTAGTAGTGCAATTGCTGGGTCATAGGGTAGTTCTATTTTTAATTTTTTTAGGGAAAAAAAATTCTGTTTTCCAGAATGGCTGTACCAGTTTGCATTCCCACCAATGCAAAAGAGATCCTCTTTCTCCACATCCTCGCCAACATCTGCTGTTGCCTGAGTTGTTAATGTTAGCCATTCTGACAGGTGTGAGGTGGTATCTCATCGTGGTTTTGATTTGCATTTCCCTGATGATGAATGATGTGGAGCGTTTTTTCATGTGTCAGTTGGCTATCTGGATGTCTTCTTTCGAGAAGTGTCTATTCATGTCTTTTGCCCATTTCTTCAATGGATTATTTGTTTTTTGGGTGTTGAGTTTGGTAAGTTCTTTATAGATTTTGGATACTAAGCCTTTATCTGATATGTTGTTTGCAAATGTCTTCTCCCATTCTGTCAGTTGCCTTGTAGTTTTACTGATTGTTTTCTTTGCTATGCAGAAGCTTTTTATTTTGATAAGGTCCCAATTGTTCATTTTTGCTTTTGTTTCCTTTGCCTCTGGAGACCTGTTGAGTAAGAAGCTGCTGCGGCCAAGATCAAAGAGGTTTTTGTCTGCTTTCTCCTCGAGGATTTTGATGGCTTCCTGTCTTACATTGAGGTCTTTCATCCATTTTGAGTTTATTTTTGTGTATGGTGTAAGAAAGTGGTCCAGGTTCATTCTTCTGCATGTCGCTGTCCAGTTTTCCCAGCACCACTTGCTGAAGAAACTGTCTTTATTCCATTGGGGATTCTTTCCTGCTTTGTCAAAGATTAGTTGGCCATACGTTTATGGGTCCATTTCTGGGTTCTCTACCCTGTTCCATTGATCTGAGTGTCTGTTTTTGTGCCAGTACCATACTGTCTTCATTATTACAGCTTTGTAATACAGCTTGAGGTCTGGGATTGTGATGCCTCTTGCTTTGGTTTTCTTTTTCAAGATTGTTTTGACTATTTGGGGTCTTTTCTGGTTCCATACAAATTTTAGGATTGTTTGTTCTAGTTCTGTGAAGAATGCTGGTGTTATTTTGATAGGGATTGCACTGAATATATAGATTGCTTTGGGTAGTATTGACATTTTAACAATATTTGTTCTTCCCATCCAGGAACATGGAATCTTTTTCCATTTTTTTTGTGTGTCTTCTTCAATTGCTTTCATAAGCTTTCTATAGTTTTCAGTGTATAGACTTTTCACCTCTTTGGTTAGGTTTATTCCTAGGTATTTTATGGTTTTTGGTGCCATTATCCATTTTTGAGAGAGAAATTTAGGCTTAGAGGTGGCTTATGACTTTGGAGAGGTCAACAGGTGAGCGGCAGAGCCAGGCTGACATCAGAGGGGGAGACCTGACCCACTCGCTCCCTTGCTCTGACAACATCACATTAGACGCAAGACAAAATAAGAGGAAACGATATAGTCCAAGAATAAAACAAGCATTACTATCTGCAGATTGCTATTGGAAAAGCCTTAATGACAAGCCAGTATTGTGAAGGCAAAATCCATAAGAAAACGATGGAGCTGGTCTGCCTCATCTGTTAGAAAGCATTTCATTACCTTGTAAGTAAATATTACCTCATAAAATAAATATTCTTCTTCCCCACATTTTATTCAGAGTTGTGTTTCCCTAGTTCTTTGGACCTTTGTTTCCTTGTTCTTGTGTTCCCCAAATAAGATGGAGCCTGAAGGTAGGAATCCTCAGAAAACTGCTTCACCTCCAGGGTCTAAATCAGGGAGTTGAAGGAGTGGTAACCGCGTGGGCAGTAAGGGTAACTATCCACGTGTGGGTTCCTGTCCTCACAGCGACTCCATGATGTACACATCATCCTTTTAGTAACATTGCCATTTATTGCTAAAGACTCAAGCACGGGGCTGAGGACTCATGGATGCACAGTGTGTCTTACACAGAATCCAGAGTCTTGTGCTTCAATCTGATGACCAGGAAAGGAAGGCTATAAGTTCCCTTGTAGTCAAGGCAACTATTTAAAAATAATAGCAGTTTTAAATAAGCAAGAAGAAGTAAATAAATAAGATTCCATAGAAAGGCAAAGCTCTGTGATATCCTTGCCAGTGTGTGCTGTACAGGAAAAACACTTCATTTCATGGGATTTGGAGAAAACT